GGGAGGGACAGAGAAGGAGGGAGGGAGAGAAAAAGAGAGAGGGAGAGAAAAAGGACAGAGGGAGGGAGGGGGAGGAAAAGGAGAGCGGGGAGGGGAGAGGGAGGGAGGGAAAGAGAGAGAGGGAGAGGGAGGGGAGGGAGAGAAAGAGAGAGGGGGAGGAAGAGAGAGAGGGAAAGAGAGAGAAGGGAGAGGGGGAAGGGGACGGAGAGAGAGAAAGAGAGAGGGAGGAAGGGAGAGAAAGAGAGAGGGGGAGGAAGAGAGAGAGAGGGAAAGAGAGAGAAGGGAGAGAAGGAAGGGGACCGAGAAAGAGAGAGGGAGGAAAGGAGAGAAAGAGAGGGGGATGAAGAGAGAGGGAGAGAGAGAAAGAGAAAAACCGGGGGAGGGGAAAGAAAAACAGAAAAACCACAATCTGACAAACTAATCTCGGGGGACCAAGCCAATATTAAAGAGGACACTTGTTGCCGCTTTTCAACTGTTGGATTTTTTTTAAACCCCCCCCCCCCCCCACGCCCGGGCCTCGAAGAAGCGCCACCTCACAGCAGCCTTTCAAAGGCACGTCTGCTAAAAAGCAACGCCACAGGAAAGGCCGGCTGCAAAAAAAAGGGGGGGGGACATTTCGCGACGGAACTAGGAAAGGGACTCAACAGGGTTAGGGCGGCGAAAAGATATGCTCCTCTGTATCTTAGCTCCGTCTGTTACTGCCCTGGGCGCTCCGGTCGTAGTCGTAGCAGCTCCCCCACCCCTTTTCCACGGCTCCCCTTCCGTCCCCAAACTTCGTGCAAACTTTAGCCGGCGCCTCCACCACCCAGCCCTCCCAATTCCGCAAGGTGCCGCGGCCGCGCTGCTTCTCTAAGGCAGGGCTCTCCAACCTTGGCCACTTTAAGCCGAGGGACGGGGAGAAACTTCAACTCCCAGAATTCCCCAGCCAGCTGGCTAGGGATTGGTGGGAGATTAGGTCTCCCCCCCCCCGTCCCCCGGCTTAAAGTGGCCAAGGTTTGGAGAGCCCTGGGTCTAAGGCGCGCAAAAGCCTCCTCCGCCCGCCTCGCGCGCCCTTTTATTTCCCGCGACCCCCCTCTCGGGGAAAGCTTTCCCTACGGCCGCGGGGGGAATTCTCTCCCACTCCCTCCGTCCCTCCTTTTCTCCTCAGCGAAACCCCGTCCGCGACTCACTTTCCGAGGCGGAGAGAGGCTGGAGAGGCGCGCGAGCGGTTCCCACCAAAGTGGCGTGTGCGCGAAAGAGCGCAAAGTCCAAGCCCGAAGAAGCTCTCTCGCCCCGAGCTCTTGTTTGCACTTCCGCCCCTTTCTTCGCTCCTCCTCCCCGCTCCGGCTCCGGAGGGCCGGCGAGGCTTGGCTCCAGCAAAGAGCGAGAGGAGGAGGAGGAGAGGCGGGCGGGGGCAGCGGGCTACTTTCCGGCCTTGGCGTGCGCCTTCGTTCCCGGCGGAGCCTCGGGCGCCCGCAGCCTTGCTGGCCGCGATGGACCCCCCCCCCCCCAAGACCAGAATTGCCGGCTGAACGAGGACGAAGAAATAAAGACACGCTTCCATGGGAAAGATCTGGAATCTAAATCAAGCGCCTTTTAACCACGTTTAACAGGCTGGACTTTTAATCAAGTGCCTTAACCACGTTTAACAGGCTTGACGTTGTTTCCACCTCAGAGAATTACGCAGAGTCTGCGAACTTCGTCCGCCTCTCCAAATCGATTTCGAAATTATTTTATTCCAAATGCGCATGAAAAGCGTACGCGACCCGTGGAAAAAGAGAGCTAGCAAAATGCGTGCACACGTGCAAGAGGGGAACCTGCGGGTCATTGTTATTCTGGACTATTGCCATATTTGCTGCCATCGTGTGGTTGTATGGATTTTCTCAAGCAGAGCATTCCTTTGTTTCACTAATAGCAGCAGACACAACTTTGATTATTTAGTTGCTGTTGACCAAGCTTTGCTTTTTTTTTTCCTTTGTAGAAGGAAATAGATTTACACAATTTCCAGAATGTCTTTCTAGGACAGGGTTCTAGAAAGGGTTGACAAGACTATGCATTATTATGCATAGTATTATTACATTATGCGTAGTATTATTAAAGGTAGTCCTCAACTTATGACCACTATTGAGTCAAAATTTCTGTTTCTAAGTGAGAAATTCATTAATTGAGTTTTGCCCCATTTTACGGCTTTTCCTGCCACATTTGTTAAGTGAATCACTGCAGTTATTAAATTAGTAACACGGTTGTTAAGTGAATCTGGTTTTTCCCCATTTACTTTGCTTATCAGAAGGTTGCAAAAAGGGATCACATGATCCTGGGACATTGCAACCATCATAAATATGAGTCCGTTGTCAAGCATCCAAATATAAATACCAGGGTGATTTACTGGAATGGTTATAAGTGTGAAAAATGACCATAAGTCATTTTTTCACTGTCATTGTAACTTTGAACAGTCACTAAGTGAAGTGTTTTTAAAGTCAAGAACTACCTGTAGTTGAAATAGTATTTATTATTTGGTTTTTATCCCACCTTTGTCATAAGTAACTCAAGGCAGCAAACATATTTAGCATTACTTCGTCCTATTTCTCCCACAACAACAACCCTGTGAGGTGGGCTGGCCTGAGAGAGAGTGACTGGCCCAAGGTCACCCAGCCAGTTTTCATGGCTAAGGCAGGACTAGAACTTACCATCTCCTGATTTGTAGGCCAACATTTGTTCTCTTCATATAATAAATGTTGGGGATTAATGAACAATCTGAAACTTCATGAAGAGGACGATACTGCAAAGTAAGGGCCATTACAGAGACAATATTTCAGATGATAACTGCCAGCATTACCATATATGGGAGTGAGTACACACATTGAGTAAATTATGATTTGGGTTAAGTGTCATTCAATGAATAAGTCACAAGGTTTACATATTGTGTTGAGCTACACACTATGCTTTACCAATAAGAATAGAATAGAACAGAACAAAACAGCATTGGAAGGGATCTTGGAGGTCTTCTAGTCCAACCCCTCCCTCGCTCAGGCAGGAAATCCTATAGCATTTCAGACCAATGGTTGATCAAACTCTTCTTAAAAACTTGCCATGTTGGAGCGTTCACAACTTATGGAGGCAAGTTGTTCCACGGATTAATTGTTAATTTCTCCTTAGTTCTAGGTTGCTTCTCCCTGTGATTAGTTTCCATCCATTGCTTCTTGTCCTGCCTCTGCTGCTTTGGAGAATAGCTTGACTCCCTCTTCTTTGTGGCAGCCCCTGAGATATTGGGAGATTGCTATCATGTCACCCTGGTCCTTCTTTTCTAACAGATCTAATTAAATCCAACCAAGTTACACCTTTGCATGATACGGGAACTCAATGTAGAGTTTCTGGTCACAATTTTCAGTTTACAATTGATTGCCAAAGATGAAGAATGAGCAGGAGTCGGGATGCAGCGGACCAGGACAAATCATCACTGCAAACCAGTTAAGGTAAAAATTGTCCGTGCTCCCTGCTTAATGCAGCCTTCTACAAATGCAAGCCTGGTCCTGAATCTGCTGACAAAAGTTTTGTTTGAACCAGATTACATTGCCAGCCTTAAAAATAACTTCCTAACATGCTTGGCCATGTCTGCCTTGCTTAACCACCCACCATGACGTACAAATTCATCATCTCCTGGCCTGAACAAAATTAATTCACTTGTCTGTAGCACAAAAGGTTTTATTCTCTTCGCTTCCAAGGACATTAGTCTCTGGCCACACAGGAATGAGCAGAAGCTATCTTGGCCTCCCTTTGTAACAAGATCTTTGCCTCCTTTTTTTATGATGCCCATTCAGTCCTCCCAGTTATGTCCTTGAAGATCAGAGTTCACAAAACGTCTGTCTGAACATGCTTGGCCTATAGTTGATTCATAGAGTACAGTGAAAAATTCTGCTTAATTAAGGTTGTCAGTTCTGTACTGCAATTGGGACAACTAGTAAAGGGACAGAGAAATCTACTTCTTGGTTGCAGATCTAAATTTAAAGTTTTGCAGATCTGCTAATCGTGAATTGGTGAGCAATACAACTTTTTATTTATTTATTTATTTTGTCAAGCAATTATAAGAAAACAGGGATAAATATAACATAGTTATGAATACATGAAATGGATACATATAAGAAAAATAAAAAGAATCCCCCTACAGATCTCTTAGGAAAGGGGTGAGGTCAATAGTAGACAGTCCAAGGTTAAAGTTTTTGGGGTTTGGGGAAGAAACCACAGTCAGGTAGAGTATTCCAGACTGACCACTCTGTTGCTGAAGTCGTATTTCCTGCAATCAAGTTTGGTGCAGTTTACCTTGAATTTGTATCTATTGTGTGCTCTTGTATTGTTATGGTTGAAACTGAAGTATTCATTGACAGGTAGAACATTGCAATATATAATTCTATGTACTATACTTAGATCAGACCAAAGACGGCGTAATTCAAGGTTTTCTAGGTCTAGAATTTCCAGCCTGGTGGCATAAGGTATTCTGCAACGAGTACAGGAGTGGTGAACTCTTCTTGTGAAATATATTTCTGGATTTTCTCAACTGTATTAATATCAGATACATAATGCAGATTCCAGACTGATGAGCTGTATTCAAGGTCTAGCAAATGTTTTGTATGTTCTAGTTATTAGTGTAATATTACCAGAGAAAAAGCTACGTAGGATTAGGTTAACAACTCTTAATGCCTTTTTGGCTATGTAGTTACAGTTACAAAACTTATAATTTTGTTTTGTGTCATTTTGTCACTATGAATGCTTATTACTTTTTTTTCATTATAGAATTCTTTATTAACCGAATGTGATTGGACACACAAGGAATTTGTCTTGGTTTTTCCTATCTACATGATATTCCAGTTGATATTCTAGTTGCAGCTCCATTAGTATTATGATTATTTTATTGCCTTGGATGCAAAATATCTGTGAAGGCCAGATATATAGTCTTGTTCACACAGTAAACTAAGCTACCATATGGTTTAATTATTGGACTATAGACAGGCCAGTCACGACTTGTTATTGCCATGCATTTTTACCATGTTTTTCCTCTTTCCCAATATATTTATGTTTGTGTAGAGTTATGTACATCTACATGTTTAGCATTCTGTAACAATAGCTCAGAGCAAAACTTTATGCACCAGAGTTCTGTTCTGAGCTCAAAAGAAAATGCAGAGAGAGAGAGACCGAAAGAGAAAACCTTCACTTTGCATGTCCTGTGAGAAAAATATCAATCCAGGATCATTATTCACAGGCTGTAGGAAGTCAATCCACATGATTTTCGTTTTGTTTCTTTAGAAAATGTAGGTAGCTGTCCATCTCACTAAAAGTTATTCAGGGTAACTGTGAAGCAGAAATACTTTCAGGTGGGTGTGTTTTGTTTTGTGTACTATATTCATGACAGTCAAGGAAATAGATTAAAATAAATCTAATGTTTGTGAAATTTGAAGCCGCAGCTAGATGAGGATTCCCAACACGGATTTATGTGCAGCAAGAAAGAAATGGCATTATTTTACCATCAAACTCTTCCAAACTGAAGCCAAATGATTGTTTAGTTGCTTCACCTTGACAACAAGGATGGGTGTACACAATCTCCTGCTTCACTTCTAAAGGGCAAGACTAGTCATCACAATTCATGAGTAATTGTTATGTCCTGTTGCTGCATACCATGACACCAGTTAATAAATATCTAAATACAGATTCAATTTCTATATACGATAATATAATACACACATAGAATCAGGTACCTGTTAGGTTTGGTGCTATGCAAAAGAGAGAGAGAGAAACATTTATCTAATTACTTTTTTCCCCAAGGAAAAAAGAAAACATTAGCATGTCATAGCATGACAGCTAATGAATTTAATTATTTATAATTATAAATTAATGGTATAACCTTATATCTTGCCAGCTCAGCCATAATAAATGCCTTACAGAGATGGAAAATGCATTTTAATTTGAGATCTGGCAATGGTTATAGGTTAATATTATTAATAATCATTTTGTATGCAATGTAATTTGTAATTTTGTATGTTTGTATATAATGTAAAATCTCCTTCAATTTAGGTTAAACGCTTGATAAAGTCATGAATGTGTCAATATAGTTTTCTTTACAATTATATGAAGGTTTGCTATTGTCTTAGTCTGATTTGGGAGATCAACAGTGATCTCCCATACAAGTACTAATTTAGATTGTCAAGATTAGCCATAGCTGATGAAAAACTTTAATTCTCTTTTAAAACTGCCTATCTGAATAGTTGTCACCATTCCATGTTAGTGATGACTCAAAGAGTACATTAGCAATTAATAGGTTTTATA